ATCACCTGTAGCTGCAACTAGGAATGACCACGTCAAGAAAAAAGACCTAATTTGGTATCAAAATGTTACTTATACGCCATCGTTGGTGCCCAAGGCACTCGGCTGCATGTCTGGAACAGGATATTAGTTGCGATGTCCAGGTGAGAATGATAAGATATGTTTTCAAATTAAATATTTTGAACAACTTGACAGCAAATATGTGAAGAAAAGATGTTGTTTAAAAGCTACAGGAACAAAGGGTGCCTAACGTAATATATCAATCATGAGACGCAGTGTTTTATCACCAGCTGAAACACTGATAAGAGAGTTGAAAATGCAATGTGCAGCGGGGTATTTTTGACGAACGTCGAGGTGTTTCATCTGGTGATGAACCACTGCGTCGAATGCTTGATATTACTTCTCAAACAAAATGATTTTAGAAGGAGAAATTAAGGATGCAAAAATGAGCAGTTTTTCATTCGATTTCCAAACACTCTTTAAACTTTAATTTCCCTTGTATTTTCTTTATGAATTATTCATGAGTTTGAGAAGTAAAAGTCAAAATTCAAATAGAGAGTTTTAGATTCGAGTTTACTTGAACCTCTAACCGCTGGAGGTCACGTGACAAGTCTTTCGCGTCACGTTTGAGGTTTACGACGCGCGTTTTCAACGTGGGGAGGTAGGTTTTCACGTATGTCCTTTACCTGAAAGCTTTTAGCGTATAATTCTTGTTTTATCCCACGTAATGATACAAAAATCTTGTGGAGCAAGTCTTTATCCATTAACAGAGGCACAAATTTGGGCGAAATGCTAAATTTGATAAATCCTATTGGATCTTGAAAACAAGTGCTATTCATGGCTGCTGATTCAGAATGGCGGCCGTAATCTAATCCACCGCCAATCTAAATTGAATTATGTTGAACGTCGAACCGCAAACGGGTAACCGCAAAGCGCGGTTAGAGGTTCGCGGTAAACTCGGATCTAAAACTCTCTAATGTCTGCCAACAACACATCAAGAGATTGTTGTCAGCTCGTCATGATTTTTCGCGACGTGGCCAGGTTTATCAAAAAGAATAAAGTAGCTTGAAGCTACAAACATCAATCTGTTCTATCCCGTATTATCATCAGCACGAGAGGATAGTCCTCTATTGCGGTAGCCCTCATTTTTAAAAGCAGAATCTTACATGAGCGGTCCTTTCACAATCTGCTGTCTTCAGTTTCAGGAAAAGCTGACAGTACGGCGAAAAAATTTTAAAAATTCTTTTCTTACAGGAACTTGCCTAGTACAGTGAATGCCAAAAATTTCCAGATAAATTCAAGTTGCCACTACACAGGGTATTTCATTTTTTTAACAATTTACATCAGTCTAAATCCTTTCAGCTATATTCAGAGCGATCTTAAGCTAGATTAAGGCATCTTTTTACTGTAAGGACAATGTTTTCCACTTGAGGAACAGAATTTGTTTCTAGCAGATGCGCATAAGGCATTGGGATATCTGCGCCGGTCACTCGGAATATGGGAGCATCAAGGTAGTCAAATGCCTCACCTGGAGTTGTTTCCCTCTCCGCCTCTTCTCTCGTAGTCTACCGTCTGTAGTGCAATCTTAACGTTCTATATTTGCACGACTCAACCCAGTGCTACAAACAAACGACAACGCTCGTCCAGCCGTAGTTCGTAGTCCGCGATCCGTAGTCTCCGTATCTTAAACTCCCTTTTGTCTGGAATCGGGTACGGAATCGAGGGAACTACGAGAGTGTATGACGTCTGATTTGTCGCTTCAGTTCCAAATGAATAAGAAAGAAAGAATAATATACGAATTCGAAGTGGATTGTAAGAAATCTTTTACATGGCGTTGTAATCTAAGTAATGATAAGATAATTTCTTTAAAACGGGTGTGAAAAATGCCACTTTTTGGTCTAAAATATGGTCAGGATTTGGAGAACCGGGCGACACACCCCTAATAAGAATTCCCACGAGTAGCCCTCCTGCTTTAAGAAGCTGTATAAAGAAATTCATCAAAATTCAAACTATGAGAGCTGCCAACAAATTGGGTAAAACTTAGAAATAAACCATTGATAGGATGTGATAAACAGAAGACACTGATGGACAAACTTGATGAACCTTGATCAAATGACGGCAAACTTCATTACATTCCATCATGCAATTATGGAACGATCTTCCCCTTTTTATTAGAAATATACCTTCAGTTAATGCTTTCAAAAAGCCTCTCAAAACTCAGTTGTTTCAGAAGGGGTTTCCCAGCTGATTTATTTATTTATTCTTTTTTATAAAGAAGGATTTGTAAATAGGACTTTAAGGAGGACTTTTCAGTAGAAAAATGCCCTCCTTATATACTGTGAAAACAAACGAACAATAGTTTGTAATGAGAAAGGGTAAGAACAAATTCTTGACAAAAGATACAAAGAAAATAGCACTTACTTACTTGCCATGTCCTTAAACGAAGGAAAATTCATTTGCTCGCTAACGTTAACTTCCTTAGGGAATAAAGACGCGTCACTGAAAATATTAGACCCAATGAACTAGACAGGCGTGATACAACCCCTTTAATTGCAAGGGAAAATACTGAAATTAAAGAAGTTTCAAAATGTTAACAATGTGCGTGGTGCTTACTCTTTTCCTGGAAAGCAAAACGAAAACGATGCCCCTGCCGTCATATAATCAACAAGTGCCAGATCATATGAGTCAGCAGTTTCTGTTCGATCAAGGTTCCGGTACCCTGGGTGCCAGAGACTTTTCATAAGCGGGTTTCGGTTTCGGTCAAGTCTTAAAAAGTGACCCGAGCGATAAGCTTTTTCTCGCGGCTTCGCCGCTCGTGTCCTCGGCCGAAGGCCGAAGACGTGTCGGCCGGCGGCCGACGAAGCTACTCGTCACACGCGAGAAAAAATCTCTGGTACCCAGGGTAAGGTTCCGGTACTGTCGTCACATTCTTTCCCGTATGGAACCATTTCAAGCCTGTTGTCAGAAGCTAAAGAAAGAGTACTCAAGTCACGAGGATAGTTCATATAAAACCATTCTTTTATTGCGGTACAATCCGACACACCAGTATTTTACAAATAAAACAGAGTCCTTTAAAGTAGAGACACTCTACCATGTGAAATACCACCATATTGACTATAAGAATGACCTACGATACTGTGCCAAATCTGAAAATTTAGCCAGATCTCAAGTCGACCAGACGATCCACAATAAATTCACGTCAAGAAGATTTAATAATATTTGGCAGCTGGATTAAGTGGCCCATATTAAAAACACTCTAGTTAATCTAAAGTATTAAATGCGAGAGAAGGGCGTGGCCTTTCCCTTACCCTATTCCTGACACCTCTGGGACGAGAAAATTCGAAAAGTGGAGGAGGGGTGTGGGACACTTATCAGCTATATAGATACTATTTATTTCATTTAAAATAATACACGATCCGCCTCCGGTGAGAACGATAGGTTCTATCTGTTGGTACCGAGGAACAGATTACGTACAACAAAAGAAACAATACAACCAAACAATAAAGGCCCCATAAGAACTATATGGTTTGGCTCCTTTGATTATTTTGTGATGACGGTACCTGCAGAAAAACCTGAACGATAGCAGAGAATTAATTCATTAACAGGTTATCCCCTCCAATTTACCTGATCACCTGTAGCTGCAACTAGGAATGACCACGTCAAGAAAAAAGACCTAATTTGGTATCAAAATGTTACTTATACGCCATCGTTGGTGCCCAAGGCACTCGGCTGCATGTCTGGAACAGGATATTAGTTGCGATGTCCAGGTGAGAATGATAAGATATGTTTTCAAATTAAATATTTTGAACAACTTGACAGCAAATATGTGAAGAAAAGATGTTGTTTAAAAGCTACAGGAACAAAGGGTGCCTAACGTAATATATCAATCATGAGACGCAGTGTTTTATCACCAGCTGAAACACTGATAAGAGAGTTGAAAATGCAATGTGCAGCGGGGTATTTTTGACGAACGTCGAGGTGTTTCATCTGGTGATGAACCACTGCGTCGAATGCTTGATATTACTTCTCAAACAAAATGATTTTAGAAGGAGAAATTAAGGATGCAAAAATGAGCAGTTTTTCATTCGATTTCCAAACACTCTTTAAACTTTAATTTCCCTTGTATTTTCTTTATGAATTATTCATGAGTTTGAGAAGTAAAAGTCAAAATTCAAATAGAGAGTTTTAGATTCGAGTTTACTTGAACCTCTAACCGCTGGAGGTCACGTGACAAGTCTTTCGCGTCACGTTTGAGGTTTACGACGCGCGTTTTCAACGTGGGGAGGTAGGTTTTCACGTATGTCCTTTACCTGAAAGCTTTTAGCGTATAATTCTTGTTTTATCCCACGTAATGATACAAAAATCTTGTGGAGCAAGTCTTTATCCATTAACAGAGGCACAAATTTGGGCGAAATGCTAAATTTGATAAATCCTATTGGATCTTGAAAACAAGTGCTATTCATGGCTGCTGATTCAGAATGGCGGCCGTAATCTAATCCACCGCCAATCTAAATTGAATTATGTTGAACGTCGAACCGCAAACGGGTAACCGCAAAGCGCGGTTAGAGGTTCGCGGTAAACTCGGATCTAAAACTCTCTAATGTCTGCCAACAACACATCAAGAGATTGTTGTCAGCTCGTCATGATTTTTCGCGACGTGGCCAGGTTTATCAAAAAGAATAAAGTAGCTTGAAGCTACAAACATCAATCTGTTCTATCCCGTATTATCATCAGCACGAGAGGATAGTCCTCTATTGCGGTAGCCCTCATTTTTAAAAGCAGAATCTTACATGAGCGGTCCTTTCACAATCTGCTGTCTTCAGTTTCAGGAAAAGCTGACAGTACGGCGAAAAAATTTTAAAAATTCTTTTCTTACAGGAACTTGCCTAGTACAGTGAATGCCAAAAATTTCCAGATAAATTCAAGTTGCCACTACACAGGGTATTTCATTTTTTTAACAATTTACATCAGTCTAAATCCTTTCAGCTATATTCAGAGCGATCTTAAGCTAGATTAAGGCATCTTTTTACTGTAAGGACAATGTTTTCCACTTGAGGAACAGAATTTGTTTCTAGCAGATGCGCATAAGGCATTGGGATATCTGCGCCGGTCACTCGGAATATGGGAGCATCAAGGTAGTCAAATGCCTCACCTGGAATAAAAAAGACGAACGGTTAACAGAGCACATTTCTGTCAGACTACGTGCACACAGACGCAACAAATCCCAAAATTACTGGTCCACAATGATGGGAGTTGTTGCGTCCGTTTGCACGTGGCTAAACGTTTGACCGGTTTCAAACTTTGCGCAACAACTCCCAACAACACTCAACAACATGCAACAGGTTGTGCAAACGGGCTCAACATGTAACATCCAACAATGTTGGGAGTTGTTGGCCAACAATACTGCGTCCGTTTGCACGGGGCTTTAAACTAACGAGAATAATAACCGAAATAAAACCTCAAGGCTCCCGATAAAGCAGTGATTTAAGTGCCCCATCTGTTTAACAGTTTTACTCGTATTGGCAGATTTCATCATTTTTTTCCCCCTGAAAAACCAGGTAACATTTCTTTTATGCCATCAATCCTAAAGCGCGTGCAAAGAGGTCGGGTACACTCTTTTCTTTTCATAAGAATGTTGCTTTTGCTCTCCAGGCTGAATATCCTTATTTTCTGCCAATTTTAGGCTGAAATAATTCTTGCATTTATATTCTTAAATTATAGCTTCTAACTTTTCCATTTTAGAATGTATTGGGGTATAAATTGCAGTTCAAAAAGGAATTCATAATTCATAAAGAAAAAATGTGTGCTTTACATCTGATAAAGACACGGCTAAATTTTACGTCCAATTAATTAGACCAAAATAACCCCAAATCTAAATATTAGTGCAAGAATGAGTTGATCTATATCAGAGACTTTGGAGCCGTTCAAAAACCTCGCAGTCGTGTATCATCAGGTACACCCCTTCTCATTTTTTAAACAATGCTTAATGCAGGTTTTTGTTTTGTTTTGTTTTGTTTGTTTTTGTGGCTAGTTTTGCCGATAAGAGAAAGGAATAATTTTACAAAACAAATAATTGTATTATTTTTACAGCTTTTCAACAAAATCTCAGCCTTTGGTTTATTCTTATCATAATTATTCTTAAAATTTCGCAAATTTCAGCCTCGATATTCTTATAAAATATATTCTTACAAAAAAACACGTGAATTAGGTCTATTAGTGACTATCACCCTTAGCCATGAAAAGCGGGTACAATGCATGATGAGCGGGACAGCCTGTGTGGAAGGCGTCGAAAGGGGAGGGAGGGGGGGAGGAGTGGAGAAAGGGGAAAAGGAGAGAGGAATGGGGAGAGAAGAAAAGGGGCTCTCACAACTCTCACTCTCCTGTTTCCCTTTGACGCTTTTCTCCCCCTCCCCCTCCCCCTCCCGGTTTATGTGCCTGCCATGCAGGCTAAGGGCCTGTTTACAAGGAGAGAGGGTTACCCTTGTGCTAGGATTACCCACGTAAGCGGGTTAAAGTAAGCTCTGGTTCACAGGCAAATTTCACAGGAAGGGTTACCCTATCACCGGGTCAACTTTACCAGCTTTGGTGGCGTGTTTCATCATGCGTGACATTCTTTGCAACGTCCAAGATTTGAAATAAAACTTGAAGTTCTCTATGGAAAACATGTTAAATTCACGAAAAACCGGGAAAATATTATTGCCGTATACAGAAAATACCTTATATAGCTCAGATGTTTATATTTAGGTCAGAAATTGGATAATTCCATTCAAATTGTCAAGATTACTGGTCACGCATGACGGAGGAAAGTTGTCCTGGGTACGCGAGTTATCCCTAGTAGAGTGTTTACAAGGCAGGTATCTGCCTTGTAAACACATCGTGAAAAAAAAAAGAAATGTGAGAGTGCTAAGGTAACCCTCTTGCTAGGATAACTGTCACCCTCCCTCCTTGTAGCCTAAGGTAGCCTGTTCCAACATCTCAGATAGTAAAGACGACGCGTCTGTGAAAGGCACGAGAAAGTGTCAGTGCTTAAGCTCGGAAAAGTTTCCTCCCATTTTAATTTTGTGTTTGCACTTTCTAAATTTCGCAGACCTGGCTATCTCGGAAAGCTTGGGACTATAACTATCATACAGTGAAGGTGAAATTTCCAATTCCGCTACCTTGTAAACACGTCATGTACAAAAGAAGAAATGTGAGAGTGCTAGAGTAACCGTCTCACTAGGGTTACATCCTTGGAAAACTAACCTTCCAATATGGAAGCTCCAATTTCAGCTCCTACACCAAAGTGAGGCCAGCCTCCTTCAATGGTGATAAGATGATTTGTTTTCTTGACCGAGTTTTCAATGCACTCTGTGTCCATTGGACGGATGGTACGGAGGTTAACCACCTATACATAAAAAACATGAATAGTTACAATTTTTCACATTGATGTATCATGAAATGAGCTTTATTTGAATGTCAATGTATTTAACACAAAAGTACTAATATTGGGGACACTACTTTTACGCCTCCTACAGGAGAAGGGGCCGTCATTTTATGTGGTGATCCGAGCCACCCAGAGTTCTAGCCGTTTGCAGAAGAGGGGCATTACCTTCATTTCTCATTTATTTTAAGACCTTGAGTATAATGTATTAGTCTGGCCCCGAGAATCGAACCCACGAACTTCCATTCCAGAGTCAAGTGCTCTAACGACTTTGAGGCCTGGCGCACGCTACTGGTGTACACGGCTAAGAATCTCACATCGTTTGGCTCTTATGAACTTATTAAAACTCAGATCGCATCGATATTTGGCAAGAAGTTACAGTTTATAAACAGCTTTTCATTGAATATTTTTTTTCTGGCTGTAAGACCAAAATAAAATTGAAATATGAAAAGTATAGCTCAAAATGGGACCATTTTTTAACAGCTCGCGTAACATTTACAGTCTAACCACGCATATTGTGGGATTTCTCTGTTTCTGTTAATGGTACTTTGGAAAAATTTCTCCGAAGAGGTCAGTGACTTATGAGTACTAACTGTATTAAAAATTACTGAACATAATGCCAAAACAACAAAGTTTAGGGCGTTTTCACAAAGATGTTCTGTCTACATACGATCTCTGTGCAGCGCGAACGTCAATTTAAAAGATTGGTTTTCATTGACTTTCTGTTGTTGTTAAGAGAAGAAATAATAATTTTTGGAATGCTCATAAGTTAAACCTTCCTTATAGACTAACTGTTAAGACTTCGGGAAACCCATTTTTACGCTAAGATCAAATATGTAAGGTTAGACAGCATTTTTTTAACGTGAAAATTCGTAAACCGTGCGTTGGACCGAAAATCGGATTCTAGAGTGTGCTTTGGCATAAAGATTTTGTGCCTAAAATGTGCCTAAGATGTGCATAAAGTGTGCATTTTAGTTTTGAAAAACGTGCCTAAGCCGTGCCTAAGTTGTGCCCAAACTGTGCCTAATCTGTGCACAAGTTGTGCCAAAATATTGAGTCACTCGGAAAATCGTGTCCAGCCTATCGAGCTCCACAGCGAACGAAGGGCGCACGGCAATTATGTCAGTTTTGAGGTTTACAAAGTCTAGAAACACGGTCTGACGACCTTTTTATCCCCTAATAAGAAATAACATGACTCAGAATACGGTTAGAGACAGCAGGGGAAGCCCCGACAAACAGGAAAATGGAATCTTAAACAGGTTAGCGTATTTAAAGTAAGTGCTCAGCTCAATTACATTGTTGATATGCTAATTTCATCGATGTTAAAAAATTTCCAAGTAGGTTTCTTCTCCCCTTCTTAATGGAGCGTTTAGGTGGAACGAAACATTTGTTTTTTTCGGGAGGGCAGATTTGCATTCAAAAAAAGAATTTACTTGTGATATGACTTATAAAATGAAAACGAAAAAATTGATTGCACGCCGATGAGTTTTGAAGCAAAATAAATGGCACGTCTCATCGATTGTTATACGATCAAAGCTTAATTTGCTAACAGAGCCAGAGAACAAAAACAAACAAGCAGCTTGAATTATTTTACTACTAAGTGTAAATCCTACTTTTTTTAGTTAGAGAAATATTTTTAAAAAGCAGCCGCATTTTGTATTAAAAACACAACACGCGTTGGCATGAAGGTTTCAAATTACCACTTTGTACTTTTCATGTTGTTATGCAAATTCAGGCCAATTTTACCGCGATCGCAAAAAGTATTATTTTTCTACGACTTTTATTGGCTCTTTTTGTGCCTTACTTCTTTAGCTTTGTTTTTGTTATTATGGCTTCGACTTTCTTTCACGATTTCTTTTAGAAACGAAAGAAAGCGAGTCTATAAAATTGCATGGCAATTGAAAAGGTTCAGACCGCATACATCGCGTGTGTAAACATGGACTGTCGAAGAATACTTTAATTTTTCAGACTTTCGGCGCGGCTCAAAACTTACACTTCCTATACTTCTAACTGTATCGTGTTTGATCTGAATTATTTTTGTAATTCGTACCAAGTTTGTTCTTTTTTGCAAGTCGGGTTACAAAGATTTTCAAAAAAGTGCCCAGCGTTGAATATTTGTGCCTAAACCGTGCCTAAACCGTGCCAAAACTGTGCCCAAACTGTGCCTAAAATGTGCCTTAGCAATATTTAAAACGTGCCTTAACTGTGCCTAAAGTGTGCCTAATCTGTGCCTTTTCATGTTTTTTTCCCGTGCTTTGGCACAAAAACCGTGCCTTTTCTTGAGCGCGAATCGTGCATAAGGCACGGTGTTATGCTCGTGTCAGTAGCGTGCGCCAAGCCCTGAGCTGATTCTGTCGCGGTTAAACAATGCAATTTTTCGCAATACCCCCAAAAAAGAATGAAAGAAAAAAGATACAGCTGACATTTCAAAGTGCCTAGATATCGAATGAAACTCCCTGTTGTAAGTTTCATAAAGTTTTTCAAATAACAAAATTTCTAGCTAAGATCAGATTTCTAAACCTTTGTTTTCTGAGTCTGTTCTTGTGTTCTCATGTTTGATAGCTTGTTGTAGTTCTCCTATTCATACCGCGCAGAATGACAATTTTGCGACGAGTATTTATTTTTGCAAAATTTTGCAGATTGCACCGACCTGCTGAGATACATTTGTGTAAATTCCAGCAAAATAAGATTCCAAAATATTTTCTCCCTTCAGCAGGGGCACCCAACGAGAATATAGTTCAAAACCACTTAAACATAGTATTGTTAAACGTATTTTAGTTTTGAAACGGTAGATATAGGCATATTTTTATCCCCCTAAAAATTTTTGATCTGTTCGGATTTCCTAGCTGAAAGTCTAGTGATCCGAAAATTATAAGGATCAAAACTTACCTTTTCGAAAATTTCAGCCAGAAAAAAGGGTCCCGAAAATTCTAGGTGACCTTTTAAGGGTAAAAATCCGTCAAAAATGGGCAATTATACCATTTTTTAGATGTTCGAAAGTCCTAGGAGTGGCAGGCAAGCAAGAAATTTTACAACAAATGTTCCGAAAATTCTAGGTCTCAAATCGTCTTCCGAACAGATATTTTCCGAAAATTGTCGTTGGGTGCCCTTGCTTCAGTACAATTTTAAAAGAAACCTGCTTTTTGACATAAACTTGGGTAACTGGGGAATATATATTGGCCATACATGTAAACAACACTAATATTGATTTAAGTAGAAAACAGCGATTGAAGCTCAGATAGATGGTCTTTATCACAGACAATACTACGGGGTGGATGAGTATGCCATAGCTCAGCATGAATCAAAAGTTGAAAATATTAAGTTTCCTTCCTTGTAATGTTCTGCTGTTTGAACGGAAAGTTGTAAAAATTATTTCCCAGCAGAAAGTTTAGTCATCATGAAGCACAAAGCTTTCCATGCTGCACTGTATAAAAAAATGCTTCTACTAACTGTTTATATTTAGGTACTATAAATGAAACGGCTTGTTACTGCATCTGCACTGTACCTCACAGTCAACTCCTTCACCCTCTCACTGTTTTGCTGCATCTAGAGCAAGTTGAACAGATTTCGAATGTGCAACTAGAGTGATATGGTTTCCTACAGAAGAAAGAAAACATTAGAAATAAAATCAACACAAGAATTGGATATGGTATATTCAAGTGAGACACCGTTTTCAGAGGCTTTGTTATTGGTAGATACAGTCATGCATGTGAATGGTACATCAGCATAGTAAATTTGTAAGCATTGGCATTAATGTTCCAAGCTAAAAAAAGTTCTGCAGAAACTTAGTACTTCAAAGTTTAAAGTGTGAAAGTGCCATTTCAAGATGGCAGCCAAGCCGAACCTTTCATTTTATTTTGTTGATGTATTGTAAGTGATCTTGCCTAAAATGAACTTAGTAAGTAGCAAGAAAGTAAGAACTGTATTTATACAGGTCAACACGTAGGAGCTTACAATAAAACTTGTTCAAAATTGCATGTGATATACAAGACCACCGTAAAAACCTAAGCAAAAACCATAACTGCAAAAGATCTAATATCTACAATGTATTACATAAAAGTATATATTCACATTAGAAAAATAGTGATAACAATAAAAATAACTTAGTTACAAATAAAAGTTAAAAGTTAGTATAAAGCTTCGAAATTGAACTTTTGTAGAGGTTATTAATTTTAATACTTGAAGATTGTTATTCTGAAATGTCATCCATCTCTTTGCCCTACCCCCCAACAGGAAGCAAGGCAAGACAGAGTCTTTCTCACCTGGCTGCCCGTTGGGGGGTGGAGCAAAGAGACAGATGACATTTTAGACTATACAATCGACTCTCTCTTAACGGACACCTCTGTAAAACGGACACCTAGAGTTGGTCCCTGCCTTTCTTTCCTCCCCCTATTTGACTCTCTATAAGACAGACATCTCTCTAAGACGGCCAGCTAGTGCCGGTCCAAAAGGTGTCTGTCTTGGAGAGAGTTGACTGTACACATGTAAGATTATCAGAGTTTGTAATATATAATGGCAGCTTATTCTGCAGCTTACTAGCGACGAATGAAAAGGAATTATGCATCCACTTAGTGCTAAAATGAGCACCAAGTTACTTCCCGTACCCCTCAGATTATAATATACATCCCTTAAATAATGTACTTTAAACCTGTCCTATTATAGTTCAACACTAGAGCTTGGTAATTCGGACGTATTGGACAGACACCAGTGAAGGCCAACGACTGTCTTCTTATCAATACAAGATTCAATGCATTGACATCACGGAAGTAAAACCTGCTCACCTGGTCTTTCAATCTTGGCTTTACCAATAGGAATTAAAAAGTCTGGACTCATTTGCTTCCTCAGACATTTCAAATTGGGCACCATACATGACCTCATTTTCTAGAACAACCACTGTAAAAGACACATGAAAAGCTGCCATTTAGCAAATGACCTTAATTCTTTAGTACAGATAAAACCTCTAGACTTGAAAGTTTTTAACAAAAAATGTCATCCTGGTATTGTCACAGGACACTGTACAAATTTTTCTACATAATTATATATATTTTATATACTGTTCAATTTCTTTCAAAACTTTTAAGCCTGGCTATTGATTTAGGAATTAGGCATCCCAAGTTAACAACGCTTACTGTTAGTATTGTTTCTTATGGCCTACTGTTATGGGACAATAAAATGAGATATATCTTAGCTAAGGTCAACTTTATACGTTTTGGCCTTCAAGATGTCATTATTTGGTAAACCTGAGTAGCAAGCACATGACAAAATACAGGGCGCAAGTAGAAATGGGCTGAAGAGGTTAATATGCACAAAGAGTGCCATGAAAATAAAGTACAGCAATTGCCTGCTTAATTGATTGATTGATTAATAAATCAATTGTTTGATTGATTAACTGATTGATTGTCTGATTGATTTGTGGCCGTTTACCAATGTTTCATGTTGCAATCTATATCACAAATAAAGAAAAGCATTACACCTGGATCAGAGTCTCTGACAGCTGACTTGAGCAAACCTTTTGCATCTTCAGCTGAAAATGGAGACACCACCTAGAGTATAAAACAATAGATGAATGATCACATCATATAAATAACCAAAACTTAATGTTGGATATAGCCGCACGACAGCACCAATACAGGTGTACATACATGTACAGGCATTCCAAAATGGTCGCAAATTTAGTTATTCTTTTGTGTTCATAATAATTGCCCCTCAACGCCTCATTTCAAGGTGACTGTTCATTTGAATTTTGCAGATGCACACTAGGGCTAATTAACACCAATATAAAAGAAACGTAACAGATAGGGTGTAGTGTGTAGGACCAACTAAATTGCGATATCATCATCATTAATGCTCGGAAATTTGAAAGGTTTTCTAAAATAACCTTTTCAAGCTCTTGACTAAAAGATATCAGCACTACACTGCAATTCATATTGTAAGCTGACCATGGAAAACTGCATGCCTAACAGGAAAATCTACTTGTCCCAGACAACTCAAAGACAGGATCTTTATTAAAGCCTATGAATATCTTTAAACTGATACTGTAGAGATAACAGGGACTTGTACATGTAATAAGAACCTGTATGCTTTATCAAGACTGGTAAATACTAATGCATCACTCAGATAACATATCTTGTCTGTACCAACCTTCAGACCAGAACAGTGACCATACCAAGCAGCATAACACTGTGAATGCTGAGCAGCCACCCCTGCTGCAGCACCGTTAGGACCTCTGAATACAATAGGGACTGGTACCTACGCATTAACAATAGAGGACAACACTACAATTTCAATGCTGAATCATCGGATAGTCAGTTGCTTGTTTAAAGCTATTACAGACTGTATAAGAAAAACTAAACTTAAGAAAGTTACCCAACCTTTCAATGTATATTGACTTTCAGTGATTTGCATTCTTAATAATGATGTCCGAAACATTGAAACGTCAAGTAGCATTTTTAAGTTTAATTTTAAATGTTGAATTATTTAGCTTAATATTTTTTTACTGAACATCACAAGATTAATAATTCTTGTGCGGCCTAAATTGCTGGACTGATTGCTAACAGGACTTTGAGCAAAAAGCTAAACAAGTTTGTCAAAATTTATATTAGAAATTTCTCTGATAATTCACTTAGCCACATAAAACACACATTAGGGCCATTTATACGAGGAAAAATAAGACGCGAACTTTCTGTATAAACGCCACATTTCGTCTAAAATAAGACGCGGCTTAGCTAAGACGCGTCTTATTAGATAAGACATGCTCATATAAATGGTACAGTTTGCGTCTTATGTAAGACGCGTCTTATTTTTCCTCGTATAAATGGCCCTATTGTCAGTCTAACTTTAAGATTCCATCTTTCACCTACCCCTTGAAGAAGGTATAAGAGAAAAAAAGTTATTAAGCCCCGACCATCATATTGAAAAATCATTAAAAAATCATGACAATATTTTCAAAAAAATCATGGCAAAACTGACCCAGTTTTTTCAAATTTTAATCTAAGTCCATCCTTGTCAAACGAAGCAACAGATAACTACAAGCCGTTTAAATGCCCTAGTAGGGTCTTAAAGGGACTATATCGACAATTCTGCGCTTAAGTCATAATTTAATGCCTTCAGTCATACACAAATTGCACCTGTGGAGGTATTAAAAAGATATCACACAAATTTCATCAGGAACACCAACCATAATCACTTTTTTCAATGATTTTTGCAGGCATAACATAAACAGCTAAAGAGCTTCACCCAAGTTTTTCTAATTTCAATCCATATCCATCCTTGCTAAAGATAAAGACGACAGGAAAAACTTTCAATGCCTGAATGTATGTTGAATGTATTTATCATATTTATTATTTATTGTTTTGGCTTGTTTTTGCTTCGGTGGTTCGTAAATATAAGAGCTACAGCCGCGCGAGAGCTGAACCAAGATCGAACCAGAAAACGGGTGAGAGAGGAGGGGGACAGGGATTAATGCACTGCTTGCATTCCACTCGGACTAGAGAATTTTGAAACTCGGTTCGCCAGCGGACGGGGCAATCGACATTCCTGACTGGTCGACAGGGTGTCAGTGGATACAAAGGAATACCGTTGGTTGTATTCCTGCTTGCAACATCTTACCTGATTCGTGTCATTTTCGTCCCCAGAACTACTCTATCGAACTCTATATTTAAAACGTTTCAAGATCAAGGTCACGTAAACACAAAAAAGACACTCACTGTTTTGACGTTTTCCTATTTTTCCACATTGATACGGACCATACATACCTTCATAACTTGTACATTGTCAATGTTTTACCTTCAAAAGATGCAAAAAAAAATTCAAAGTGAAATGTGCTAGTCATGGAGGTATGTATGGTCCGCATTATTTTGGAAAAATTAGCTCAAAACAGTGAATGTTGTTACGCGGATTTTAGACCGGTTCGTAGGCCAGGCTGGTCGTAAAATTTCAAAGGGTTACAGTGAATCAATCTTAATGAAAGTTTCAGACGTTATTATATACATCATGAATATCATTTGATGACGTTAAAAAAACATTTTGTCCAGCCTTTCCAGAAAGTGCTAAAAGTCAAAATTCTGACTAACTTGCACATAAACAGGTGGTGAGATAACAGGTTAGTTTCCAGGAATACAAGAAAGGAAATATACCAAAATTTGCTAGGAGCAAAATGTGATAATTAAGTTGGCCCGAACCTATTTATCTGCGCGTTGGTTATGTTTTTGAATCGCGTTTTTCGGAAGAAATTATTTAACCGATTTCCATGATTTTTGGCATCCTTAATAAAGAATGGTCGAACGTTAAAAAAATGTTATTTATTTTCTTGCAGGTATAAAAACGTTTGAGATATCGGCATATGGTAAAAACCGCATTTTTACAAAAAATGTCAGTAATTTCGAAATCCTAAGACAGATTGTTCTCTAACTTCGGCCTGCAAGTTTGAAGTCAATCGTGACCGTAGAACTCGCTGCACAAATTTAACCTTAAAATGCAACGCTAACACCTTTGTGAAAGTTGACACACAAATAGAGGACAACTGCCGACGGACTATCTCTTATCTGCAAGGGTATTCTTGCCCAAAGTTTCAGTTGCGAGAAACTGAGTAATCTGAAACATGCTGCGAATACAGTTCGCAACACAAGAAGAACAACTATATGCTGAATGCGGGGCAAGATAAAAGAATTGCTATTTATCAAACTTACTTTGTATTTGTCCCTCTCTTTTCGAAACCTGTCTTAACAATGCAAATTATGTTATCTACGACAAATACTCAAGAGTTTTTAGCGTCGCAGGTTTCCATTTTCGAGGAGAAATAAAGCCACCCGGCAACTTCAGTAATTCTTACCGTCCATCTTTCAGCTGCACTGAAAGCCCTTGAACTTGGTAATTTATTCCAGGTTTTCAGACTTGACATCACATTCGCTCGGGAAGTTTGTCGCTTGGGGATAAAGATGAAGAAAATATGACAATCGTCTTATTCTTTTCATTATCCTCAATGGCCAAATGCTCGTGCGGATGTGATCTTTAATACAAGGGTTTTCGTTGCAGCTGAAATGGATTGGTTGAAGTACTGGAGTTGGTGGCTTTATTTGTCCTCAAAACGGAAACCTTCGACGCTAAACCTTTTGGTTGAGAGGGGTACTTTTAATGAAATAAACTGTGCATGTGGTTAAACTTATATATATAAAATAAAAACCAAAAACTAGGTACAAAATATAAATCAAATAACTCATCTAAGTAATTCTATACACATCTGCTGAACAAGAAGATTCCATGTTGCCGTGCGTCTGCTAAGTCAGTCATGGATCACAGATGACTTCAAAATGTGAAAAAACAAAGAGGTAGCACACCTGAGCTGCAGGCGAGTGTGTCACTAATGTTTTTAACACATTTTGACGTCTTCCGTAATGTATTACCGAACAGACCCACAGCAACATGCAATCTATTTGTTAAGCAGAATTAATTCTAGCCAAAAGGTGTTTTCTCAAACATTTCATCGTTACACATTCTTATGTGTCATGCTGAATTTAATCGAAGCCTCCACAATGTTACATGCCAAATTACTTTTAATTTCTAACTATTTAAAGACCTACAACTATTTCAAGTTCAGTCAAAAATGTATTTTCTGTATTCAATGAATAGAAGTAACCTTTCACCAGTTTAAAACTGGCTCTGCACTGACTGCCATGCTTTCGATCGAACATTCGTCGGTTCCTCGTCGGATAAGAAAATAGCCATCCTCGCCCCAGTCCTCTCCCCAGCTATTCTTCACAATCCAGAACTTCTCCCCAGTCTTCTTGTCAGCTCCATATCCCACGGCGAGCACTGCATGATTGGCGATCTCAAATGGATTCAGCCTGTCTTCCAAACCTGCATTGAGTTCATGTCATGTT